TGCTTCCAAGTCTCATACCATGTCACAGCAATATCACGTAGTCTATAAGAAGTAAACTCCACTAACTCAATATCCGTGGCATGTATAATTTGTAAGGTCTGTTGCATAAGATCCAGAAAATCCTATGGGTCAGCATTAGGATAAACCCCTGTAAATACTGGAGGATCCAAGTTGATAAAGTCCCGAACTCTCACACTCACGGACCTATCAGCAATACCGAGGGTCTGGTGTTGGGCCTGGGAGGCCACTATTCGAGTCAGCAATTGTACAGCACTCCGCATGTCTAGGTCCTAATCAGGAACAACTGGGAGAGGGACTAGAGATATGTTAGCTCCTCTACGCCCTACCGGGGGTGGTGGGGTGCTGCCCCAGAAGCCTGAGAATCAACCTCATTCTGTGGCTCATGTTGATCTACATTAGCAGGTGGCACCTTACTTGTGCCCTCTCCCGCCTCCTCATCCAACCTTTGAATAAATTTCATAGCCACTTGTCGTCTCGTAGTAGTAGGCATCACTAAGAAGGTAAACAAAAAGAGAATTAGGAATGAACACTTATGATTAGGCTCTATTGCACGATCTAGATCAAGAAGAAAGTAATAATCCTAAATGCCCAATAGCCTCATGTTTATAAGTGTGGTGTACAACACACCATAAACAAGACTTTACTAGACACGACTTGCAGACTCCATAGGATTGACCTGCTCTGATACCAAGTTTGTCACACCCCAACCTTGGGAGGTGTGGTTGGCGCTCGATGCCCGAAGGCACGAGCGAACCAACCATGAGATATGATCTGAAATATAATAACTTGCAGGCAGAAGAGCCCAACACGACATATATATGTATATATATATATATATATATATATGTATATATATATATATATATATATACATATATAACCTAGGCCAACAAGGCTGCAACAACAGTAGAACAGCTATCCAGGAGGCCGATAGGGCTATACGAGCAATATATATATACAATGACCGCTAGTCTGCAAGCCTTTAAGAGTGTAAGACAATCTCAATAGGGCAGGACAAAGCCCCCGACATGCCCAAAACCACACATATACATCTGTAATAGTACATATGGACTCAAAGTAAGCAACTCTGAAGAAGTGGAGTGCGAAACCCAACGCTGATCCTGGGGGTCCTACTGAGGAGGCACGCCGCTCTGTCTATCCGAACCTATGGGCATGAACACAACGAATAAAAATGCGTCAGTACGAAATATGTACTGAATATGTAGGGCGACAAGAGTAACATGAAAAATGTAATTAACAAGAGAAGAGATATAGAGACAATTTGAATTCTGAAACTAGCCTCGGTAGTAAACTAAAATTCAACATGGATATAAATGTATGCTCGTGAAATCGTCGTTCACTATTGCTACTTATAATATATCACATTATATAATCATAAATCCCTCTGTGGGGCTATAATATCCATAACATACCCGGCCATAATAAAGGCTCGGTAGAATCGTACCCGGCCACGTGAAGCTCGGTAATCCCAACTGATCAGTGGTTACACAATATGTGTCATACCCGGCCGTCTATAGTGCGGCTCGGTAATGAAAGTAAATACATACATATACTAAATCATGAATTATATAGGTGCAATGCGAAACCAACCTTAAAAGACGTATTCTAAGAAGAGTCAAGCCTACCATCATTATTCCTCGACTATCATGGTTGTTGCTAAAATATTTTTTTTTACTACGAGCCAACAAGTACTAAGAACATGAGAGTTATGTATTATGAATACCTTTGAAGTAAGTGTTACTTATTCATGATTTATATGAACATCGAAAGGAGAACGAGTAAAAAGGCTCTAGTTCTTTTTAAGCAAGGAATAAGGAAATATGAGAATTCATAGATATCCTCTAGAGTAAGCAATCTATGAGAAAGGATCAGGTCTAATCATCTTTATAAGTTGAAGGTGAAATAACTCGAATCCGACGAGACAATTCGATAAACGTTTATTCGAATTCTAGTCATGCCGAAAAGTATAGCGAAAGCCCTACATACCTTGTCGATGGAGTTATATACTGTTTCCGAGACCTCGAAAGCCTTAGGAATGATTTCCTACATAATACGAACCATTCAAAATCAAATTCAAGCTCATAGCTTATATAATTCTTCATTTAGACATTTACGCGAACAACTTGTGGCCATGAATTTGTAGACTCTTTTGTAGATTAATTTCCCCCCAACACACCACCAAATTTTACTTTACTACATCTCCTCATTGACAATATTCCATCCATGTCTTCACAGATCCAAACAACACAATAAAACCATATAGAACAGCCCCAACAATCAAGCCATATTAAGAGAGGTTAAATAAATCAAGAACATTTTTTTAGAGGTTTCAACTATTTCTAGGAATTCTTATGGTAGAAGTTTACAAAGATCAAAGAGGAAGTTAAATCATACCTTGTGTGACCAGAATTACTCAAAATTCGAAATTACTTCATGGCGGAGTCTTGCTATGAAAAGTGAAACACCGAAGAATTCACGATTCCGAAGTTACCATGGTGTTCTCCATCTTGAGGATGACTAAATTGTTGTTATCAATGGCTAGATGGATGGGAGGAGTTTGAGAGGAAATACCTAGGTGTTAGGTTTTGTTTTGGAGAGGATAAAATGCAGGAGTTTCAGTTTTAAAGAATGACTTAAATAATTTTTTTTAACTAAACCCGACTAAGCACACTGTTCCCGTAACAGTGTGCACCCCTGTACGAAAAGGTTAATATATCTTTACTCCGAAGTTGTATTAATGAACGGTTTATTGCATTGGAAACTAGACTCATAGACCTTCGATTTGGTAGGTAGAACATACCATAAATCCCAGTATATTGATAGAAAAGCTTATCAACATTTTATCCAAATTCCAGTAAAATTTAAACCCGTAACTTGCGGCGATCTTTGTCAAATTTTTTTATCGCAACTCAAATGACTTCCAATCTTAACGTATAACTATCACATCATTTAAATATCTCATAGAAGATATCTTCCTATCGAATTAGCCCATTTACAGCATGATAACGCCGAATACACAAAGTGTAAAAGATACGAGGAGATCTGGGAAGCGACCGCATTTGGAAGATCCAACAATCAAGGAGAAATCAAGTGAAGCAATCCTCTGCTGAAGGAAAGCAATCAAGAGAAGCAACGGCTCATTCCTTATTCTTGGAAAGAATCAATTCTTTCCAAGGATCAAATCTCTTGGGTTGTCAAGCCTCTACCATCCATCCAAGTATTTATACACCCTTGTAAACCCTAGCTTAGACATACTTTGATTAAACCAAATCACTCTCTTCATTCTACTGCAAACACGCATTGTAGTTTACTAAGATATGTTGTGTAACAAGTCAGGGATAGAAAGAGAGCACACAACTGGTGAAGCATTGTATCAAAAACGAGTGCTAGAGAAACTGAGCGATAAACACCACATCTGTACTCAGAGGAAACTCATTTACTAAAGAGAACTCTCTTGCAACCCAAGGGGACTGGATTAGGATTCACATTGAATTCGAATCAGTATAAAAATCCCGGTGTTTTTAATTCCTGCAATTATTTTCTGCATTTTACCTTCCGTTATCATATCTGCTAAATTATCATATTCAGTCGACTACTCAAGTTATAAGTCAACTTATAAGCAATTAATTTTAAGTATTCACAATTCAACCCCCCCTCTCCCCTCTTGTACTTTCAATTGGTATCAGAGCAAGGCTCACATTTTACCTTTTGCTTAACAACTTGTGAGAAAAGATCATGGCAAATCAAATTATCATAGGAGCTCTCTTTCATGAAGGAACTTCACAAGTTATACCACCATACTTCAATGGACAACATTTCTCTCACTAGAAAGTACGAATGGAAATCTTTGCTAAAGCATACGATGTCAAATTCTGGAGTGTCATTAAAAAGGGAAACTATCCCCTACCTGCTAGCACTCCACCACTTGTTGATCCTGATGATATAGATTCATACTCAAAAGAGCAACTGGAAGCGGTACAAGTGAATAACAAGGCAAGAAATCTGCTTCACAATGCTATAATTGGTGAAGAATACGAGAAAATATCGAGTTGTGATACAGCCAAAGAGATGTGATATAAACTTGAGGTCACCTATGAGGGAACCAGCAAAGTAAAGGAAACTCACATCAACATGCTAGTTCATGACTACGAACTCTTCTCAATGAAATAAGGAGAATCCATTGAAGAAATGTTTGCCAGGTTTAGTAAAATAATTAGTGACTTAAAGGCATCTGGCAAGCCCTACACCAGTGGTGATCAAGTCAATAAAATTCTCAGAAGTATGCCAACCAGTTGGCAGACCAAAGTAGTCACACTGGAATCTCAAGACCTAAACAAATTGTCCTATGATGAAATGCGAGGAGAACTCATTGCTTTCGAAAGGACGCATTTGAAAAAGATAAATCAAGAGGAGAAAAAGAAAATAGTTGCATTCAAAACCTCTACTGAAATGGCTGAAAATGAAATTGATGATCCTGAAGCTCTACAAGAAGAGATTGCTATGATGTCTAGAAATATGGATGGGCTGATGAGAAGATACAGAAACATAAAGAAAGGAAGATTCCCACCAAGACGGTCCAGGCAATACAATGAACAGGATAAGAACGATGGAAAATGCTACGAATGTGGAAAATTTGGGCACATTCAGGCTGAATGCCAAGAACTGAAAAGGAAGATCTCTAGAGGCTTCAACAAGAACAAATCCTTCGGAAGCTGGAGCGATGAGGACGACTCAGACCATGAAGAAATAGCAAATATTTGTTTCATGACAATTCTAAAAAATGAAATAAACAAAACCTCAGGATGTTGGACAGATGAAGATGATTCAGATGACGAGAACTGTTTCATGGCACGAGGTGAAACTAGTGAGGTAAGATCTTATGACTGCGAAAGATGTAATGAATTGCAGGATATTCTTGATTCTACCTTAAAAGAGTCTCAAAGAATGATGAATGAACTTAAGAGACTCACTAGGGAGGTTACATACTGGAAACTCAAACATGAAGTATGTGAAATCGAAAAAGAAGTACTTCAAGAAGAGTTTGAGAAGTTGCAAATGCAGCTTAACAGCTTGCGCAAATCCACCAGTCATAATTCTGTTAGGTCAAACCAGACGACTTACAAGTCAACTGGAAAGGAGCCAACCAAAACCAAGTCGACTAGTTGGTCGGACTAGATGACTTACAAGTCAACTGGGAAAGAACCAGCTAAATCTAAGTCGACTAGTTCTAACACTTATGAAAACAGGTTCGGAGATAAATGTCATTACTGTAATAAAATTGGGAATAAATATTTCGGTTGTTGCTTTCGTAAATCAAATGTGTCACTATGGGTTTGGAAACCAAAAAATTCTGAACCGAACAACACTAACTCACCAGGATGCAGGCAAGCTTGGGTACCAAAAGAAAGTGATCATCTTGTCTTACAGGAACACCACAGAGTAAGCCGCAAAGGAAAATGGTATCTAGATAGTGCGTGTTCCAGTCATATGATAAGTGACAAAAACCTGTTCAAGGAAGTTACAAAGATCGATGGAGGAAGTGTAAAATTCGAAGACGATTCAAGGGGCAAAATAGTTGGCACTCGAACAGTTCCTTTCAATAACAACTGTGGCATTACTGAAGTATATCTCGTTGATGACCTAAACTAAAATCTCTTGAGCATAAGTCAACTCTGCGACTCAGGATATGAGGTAAAGTTTAAGAGAATAGAGTGTGCTATTGAAGACGAATCAGGTAAGATAATTCTTCCTGGAAAAAGGTATGGAAATGTTTATATACTTGATGGTTTTGAAAAGATAGATGGCCACATTTGCTTATCCTCTATGTCTGATGATCCATGGTTATGGCATAGAAGACTTGGCCATGCTAGCATGCATTTGATTGAAAAACTGTTCAAACATGATTTAGTTATTGGTTTGCCTAAACTGGATTTCTCTAGAACTCATATTTGTGATGCATGTCAAATGGGTAAGCAAACCAGAAATTCGTTCAAAAATAAAGATATAGTATCTACTTCAAAACCTTTGCAATTACTTTATATGGATTTATTTGGGCCTACTAGAACTGCTAGCATAGGAGGTAAGAGGTATGCTTTTGTTATTGTTGATGAATTTTCACGTTTCACCTGGGTAATCTTCTTGTCTCATAAGGATGAAGTCTTAAGAAATTTTGAAGTTTTCTGAAAAAAGGTTGAAAGAGAAAAGGGATATCTGATCTCAAAAATTCAGAGTGACCATGGAGGAGAATTTGAAAGCAGAGCTTTTGAAGACTTCTGCAACGATCAATGATACACTCACAATTTCTCTACACCACGCTCACCATAGCAAAATGGGGTTGTGGAAAGGAAGAACAGAACTCTCCAAGACATGGAAAGAACCATTCTACTAGAACATTCATTTCCAAACCATTTCTGGGCAGAAGGCGTAAGTACTGCTTTTCACATCCTCAACCGTTTCCTCATAAGGCCAATTCTGAAGAAGACTCCTTATGAACTCTGGAAAGATAAACGTCCAAATATCAGTTACTTCCATCTCTTTGGAAGCAAATGTTTTATTCACAATAACGGTAAAGATAATCTTGGAAAGTTTGACCCAAGAAGTGACGAAGGTATTTTTCTTGGTTACTCATTGAATAGCAGATCTTTTAGAGTCTACAATAAACATACTTTATGTGTAGAAGAATCTGTACATGTTATATTCGATGAAAATAATCCCTTGGTCGAGAAAGGAACTACTGCAGGTGACGAAGATCAATCTCAAGAAGCTTAGGACAAAGGAAAATCACAGGAGTCGACTAGCACATCTGGGGTGATCAAGTCAACTAGAGAAAATAACAGCAATACTCCAGACCCACAAGTCGAGTCGACTACAAATATAATTCGACCAAATGAATGGAGAAGCGAACCCAAATATCCTCAGAAATTTATTATAGGAGATCCAAACGAAGGAATGAAAACCAGGGTTGCCCTAAGAAAAGCAAATATTGCATTGATTTCTCAAACTGAGCCAAAAAAAGGTAGAAGAAGCACTGAAGTATTCAAGTTGGGTGCAAGCCATGCAGGAGGAATTAGATCAGTTCAGCAAGAATCAAGTGTGGAAACTAATACACAAACCTGATAATGTGTCTGTGATCGGAACAAAATGGGTATTTAGAAACAAACTGAATGAGGATGGAAAGGTCATAAGAAGTAAAGCGAGACTAGTTGCTCAAGGCTATTCACAACAAGAATGAGTCGACTATGATGAGACTTTCGCCCCAGTAGCTCGTTTGGAGTCTATACGAATTTTTCTGGCATATACATCCTTTAAAGGATTCAGGTTGTTTCAAATGGATGTTAAAAGTGCCTTTTTGAAAGGATTTATTGAGGAAGAAGTTTTTGTAAAACAGCCTCCAGGCTTTGAGGATTCAAAATTTTCATACCATGTATACAAGCTTACCAAAGTACTGTATGGGTTGAAATAAGCTCCAAGTGTCTGGTATGATAGGCTGAGTACTTTTCTTATTGATCATGGCTTTACCAGAGGTAAAGTAGACACTACTTTGTTTATTAAACGATTATCAGAAGGTAATCTCATTATTCAAATTTATGTTGATGATATTATATTTGGTAGTGCTAACCCTCTTATGTGCAAGGAATTTTCAAATCTTATGCAAAGCGAGTTTGAAATGAGAATGATGGGTGAACTTACGTTCTTCCTTGGGCTACAAATACAACAAACCGAAGAAGGAACTTTTATTTGTCAGACCAAATATACAAAAGAGCTGATTCAAAAATTTGGTATGAACTATGCAAAATCAATTGGCACTCCTATGAGCCCCGCTACAAATCTAGACAAAGATGAATAGGGCACGCCAGTTGATGAAACCAAATACAGGGGAATGATTGGATCACTGCTATATCTGACAGCAAGTCGACCAGATATTATGTTCAGCATATGTAAATGTGCTAGGTTTCAGTCAGCTCCCAAGGAGTCACATTTGACTACTGTAAAGAGAATCATTCGATATCTCATTGGAACTGTATCTCATGGATTGTGGTATCCTCGCTCTAACTCTTTTAAATTAGAAGGTTTTTCAGATGCTGATCTTGCAGGTGATAAAGAAGATAGAAAGAGCACTAGCGACACTTGTCAATTACTGTCACACCTCCTTTTTCCGCACCCGAGGGGGCGCAGGGGAGTTTTTTCCAATTAAAGGACAATCGAAACGGGATTGGTTTATTTATTTCAGAGTCGCCACTTGGGAGGTTTAGGGTGTCCCAAGTCATCAATTTTAATCCCGAATCGAGGAAAAGAATGACTCTATATTACAGTCTGCGTACCAGAAATCTAGATAAGGAATTCTGTTAACCCGGGAGAAGGTGTTAGGCATTCCCGAGTTCCGTGGTTCTAGCACGGTCGCTCAACTGTTATATTTGGCTTGATTATCTGATTTTAAATACAATATGAACTTATGTGCAAATTTTATCTTTTAACCGCTTTATTATTATTGTTTTTACGAGAATGTGAACGTCGCTTAAAACATATGTCTTTGGGCTGCGTCACATGAAATGCGCCCACAATCCGGAACATATTTTATTTGACGTTTTGGGATTTGGATTTGGGTCGCATGAAATGCACACCCAAGCTTAAGAAAGTAAATTATTAAACACGCGCCTAAAGAGACTATCGCGTTATTATTTTGGGGAAGGCCGTAAAATTTGCTAAACGGCATGTCCTGAATTCTAATTATTTTAATATATATATTTTTGTGAGGGCTCCGTAATCTGTACATTTTTATTTTTGGCGAAGCTTGTCTCGTTTTTTATTATTATTATTATTATTTATTTTTATTTTTATATATTTTTTTTTAAAAAAAATGTCATTTTTACGCCTTTAACAATACTAAACCTTACGGCTTCTTTACAACTAAAATCTCATAACTTATCAAAATTTAATAAAATAAGTCTAGTGAATGGGTGTTTCGGAAGTGGTAACAACAAGTACTAATGCTAATTTTGCCCGAACAAACTAAGTAAAAGACCACGAACAAATTAACACCAAACTTGTGTCATAGAACAACTAGCCCAACTTAATTAAATGACATTGAATAAACAAGAATAACACAACGCAAAATGAACAAAATGCATACGATGCAAACACGAGCAGAA